TGGTGGTTGGTGCATAAACTTGGATTATTGTGATGTTGAAAGGTCTGCCTTGGATTCGTATTGACATCATTCTATCAGTTTTGAGATTGTATCCCATTACAGCTTTTCCCACTCTTTTGTTGACTATGAGGGCCACTCCATTCCTTCTACGGGATTCTTGCCCACAATAGTAGATATGATAATCATCTGAGCTGAATTCACCCATTCCTGTCCACTTTAATTCACTGATGCCCAGGATGTCGATGTTTATTCTTGCCATCTCCTGTTTGACCACCTCCAGCTTCCCAAGGTTCATAGATCTTACATTCCAGGTTCCTATGCAGTAATTTTCTTTGCAGCGTTGGACTTTCCTTTTACTTCCAGGCACGTCCACAGTTGAGCGTCCTTTCGGCTTTGGCCCAACCACTTCCTTAGCTCTGGGGCTACTTGTACAGGACTTGTCCTCCGCTCTTCCTCAGTAACATGTTGGACGCCTTCCGACCTGAAGGGCCCATCTTCCAGCATCATATCTTTTAGCCTTTTGTTTCTGATCATGGGGTTTTCTTGGCAAAGATACTGGAGTGGCATTGCCAGTTCCTACTCCAGGTGGATTGCCTTTAGTCGGAACTCTCCACTATGTCCTGTCCATCTTGGGTGTCCCTGCACGGCATAGCCCATAGCTTTTCTGAGTTACTCAAGCCCCTTCGCCACGACAAGGCAGCAATCCATGAAGGGGTAGAATTTTTTTTAACCTAAGATGACCTAAGGTTAAAAAAAGAGCAGGAAAGGTTTTTTTTCCTGTTCTTATCTAGGATTTCTGTTCTCAAGTAGAAGCAAAATTTAGCAAACGGAGCTGTTCTTAAGTAGAATTGTTCTTAAGTAGGGACGTTCTTAAGTAGAGACCCCACTGTATCTGCAGGAGAAAAGTAATGATGGGTTCCATTTTTGCATGAGAATATAAGAACTATGTCATCCTTCTTAATTGGAGGGGACAAACAACAACAACAAAGACAGGTAGTTTTGCATTTCTGTTTAAACATGGTTCTGATGGAACAAACCAGCTCTGTATTAGTACATAACTACTTATTTGAGAGGGACATGGTGGCACTGCGGGTTAAACCGCAGAAGCCTCTGTGCTGTAAGGAAGTGGTTCTTAACCTTGGGTAATCCAGGTCCTCTTGGACTGCAATTCCCAGAAGACTTCACCACCAGCTATGATGGTTGGGGCTTCTGGGGCTTGCAGTCCAAGAACACCTGGGTTACCCAAGGTTAAGAACCACTGCTGTAAGGTCTATAGATCTGCAGCTGTAAGATCGAATCCACGTGACGGAGTGAGCATCCGTCGCTTGTCCCAGCTCCAGCCAACCTAGTGGTTCGAAAGCATGCAAATGCGAGTAGATAAATAGGAACCACCTCAGTGGGCAGGTAACAGCGTTTCGTGTCTAAGTTGCACTGGCCATGTGACCATGTGAGATTGTCTTCAGACAAACGCTGGCTCTATGGGTTGGGAAACGGGGATGAGCACCGCCCCCTATATTCGGAGACAACTGGACAAAAATTGTCAAAGGGAACCTTTACCTTTACCTTACTTATTTGAGACCACGGCTTTAACACATGATGGTTTGGTTGAATTACACTGGTATGGTTACATTTCTTTTTTATTATTATTTTTGTTGTTTCTGAAATGTTGCGTACATTTTTCTATGTTTTTCTGATCCTTTAAAATTTCTACCCCATGTTATTAATTTGTGGGGAAAAAAACAGTCTAGAAGTATTATACTGTAGTATCTATGAACATACTTGCAGCAGGTGATCTGTATCTCCATGTACTAGGTAGCCAGTGAGGTGCAATCGGGGGACTGAGGTTTGAAAGAGCCAGGTACATTTCAACCATGAAACTAAACTAGTAACTTGGGCCTAGCCACTCTCTTAGCTTAATCTAGCTCAAATAGTTGTTATAAGGTTAAAGTGAGAAGTAAAGCCATGTATGCTTTGATTATTTAAACAATTATTTCACTGAAGATATTTTTCCTTCCTTTTCATTAAAACACTTGAGATGCCTTAACATAATATGTACATTAGAAAATAACTGAAAACATCAGAAATCTACAAGCCAGACATAGAAACTGGGGCTTTGGACCCTATCTGGACATATTAGTAAATTAATTTTTTTTATTGTCTTGTACACTATTTAATGGATTTTGGTGTATGCCCCTCTGATCTCTTTAATAGGAAAGAGTGGGATATAAATTAAATAGTAAAATAAAGATGTTGAGAAATTACTCAGAATTTGATTTGTTTGATATTTGTATATCCCATTTTCTTTTAGTACTGGAAATAGCAAGTAAGACAAAATACAGGAAATGTAAAGTAGGTATGCAAATGTTCTTAAAATAACAGCTCTTTTAAGACTGTAGAACAGTGGCAATAAAATTCTACAGGACTACACCAAATACAAATATATTCCAAAGCAAAAAACAAATACAGTACCATCTGATTGAATTACTTAATTATGAGATCTAATGTCATCTGCATGAAGTTCCACAGATGTGGTGCCATTATAGGGAAATGCTTTGTCTTTCACTGTTCTTCTTTCTTCTCCAGTTGGTGAGACAGTAAGCTTCACTCTGTGAACAGCATTTTTAACAATAACAGTTATGTGCCATCAAGTCAATTCTGTCTTAGGCAGCTATTTCAAGGGTTTTTTAGGCATAGAATACTCAGAAGTTGTTTATCCCTGTGACTATACAGCTTGCCCAAAGATACACAGGCCTGCTCTTCTCCAGGGACACACAATTGGGAACTAATCTCCCAACCTGTGGCTCCACTGAGCTATCTAGCCAGCTAACAGGAGCTATTATTGGATTTTCATTTTTGCAATAATGATTTAACTTTGGCTGTTATCTTAGTGATCTAAGTTTACTGTATATGCCCACCTATTTGTCCACCATGATTAACCTAATCTCATTTCTGTTAATTGTTTTCTTTATGAATATGCAGCTCTGCTGTATTCTAGATCGTGAGAGCTGGAGGCTCATCAAATCACTTGCATATCACATGGACTTTTTAATGGTTGCCCTTCACCTTCAGAACTTTTTTTCTCAGGAAAATGTGTATGAATCCCTACTGACATTTTATTTATAAAGTTAAACATTTTTACTTCAGGTAACCTTTTACTAGTTATTGGAATTGTTTCACCTCCATTCATCTACAGTGGTATTGATTGACTGTTATATTTCATGATTACCTCTTTTTAAAATGAACATTTGTATACCACTTTGATATGGCAGTTGTGACCCGCAAGATAGTTTTTTCACCCAAACATTTCTGTACACTCGTCTTAAACAAAATAAAATGTAAATATTGCACATATCCTCAAAAGCTGGGTACATATGGACAACTGGATAAAAAATGGGAAACAGTAATGAAATACAAGGTACCACAACATAAATGGTACATATTCCAAATTGTTTAAAATGTCAACATTTCAAAAATACTAACCGTGCTAAGAAAAACACTGTTGTCCTCTTCCTAGAGCTGTATACTTATGTTGTGTTGTTTCAATCACTGTATTTGGGTTGGGTGTTTTTTGGTGTTTTATTTATTTATTTATTTTGGTCAGTACATTCAGTACCTTTTGTATGTAATTTCTTTTTCTTGTTTTGTGTAGCCAATCAAAAACCCTCCTTCAGGGAAAAAGTATGTTAGATGTCCGTGTAATTGTCTGCTTATCTGTAAGGATACATCACGGAGAATAGGATGTCCAAGGCCCAATTGGTAAGAGCTGGAAAAGTTACAAGTTTTTTGTTGTTAATTTTTGAAAAATATTGATACAATCATAGTGGTATAACTAAATAACTTTAAGTAAAGTGTTGTCCAAAAAAAGGGGGGGGAGGGATGGAGGCAAATATTGTTGCACACTAAAGACGAGCAGTTTTATTCCAGTGAACCCATACCAAAATAAATGTTTGGCAGAAATCCAGTAGTAAGACACAACTAGAGTAGGCCCACTGAATCAGTTGAACTTAGGAGTTGAACTGACTTAGTGGGCCTACTTTAGTAGTGTCTTACTACTGGATTTCTGCTAAATTATTTCGGCATGGACTCACTGGAATAAAACTGCTCGTCTTTAAAATGCAACAATATTTGTCTCGATCCCTCTGCCCCAATGATTCAATGGGCCTACTCCAGTTGTGACTTATCACTTGATTTCAGCCTGTTAGTCTTTAAAGTTCTATAATATTTTGCCTTTGCCCTCTCCCACATTTATTTTTGTGAACATGCTGAAACTAACATGGCTACTTCTTTGGAAAATAGTGAATATATACTTTGTTTGCTTATTTATCTTTTACGATTTTCACATAAACCTGTGTATGACAGCCTACATAAAACTTTTAACAACCATTAAAATATACATATTTATTCCAACCTCTATCAATATCAGATTTTCCAGAGGAATAATTTATTATGAGGCCTGATGATTATAACAAAGCAAGCAAGATGGATGGTTGTCATACAGAGCAAGATGGAGACTTTAAATTTGAGGATGTGTGTGCATAATGTGCAAATTTTACAGAAGTAGTAAGCTACTGGTGCTTTCAAAGGAAATTAGTTGCTCAATATACAACTGTACTCGTTTAGTCTAACAATGAAAAATAACCCAGTTTTCTCTGTACATCAACAGATACTTCTTTTGGATATGCCAAATATAGTCAAGTCAGAATGATAGATTATTTTGATTCTACATAACAAATAAAATGCATCAAAATGGCACTGTCATTGCTTTTTGTAGCCTAATAATGTATTCCTACATGTTTCCTCAGAAAGTAATTTCCAATGTGTTTAGTTGGACTTATTTCTTAGGATGGGTGCTTGGGATTGCAGCCCCAATAAACCAAATACAGTATATACTTAAATAAAATGAATGAAACTGAAGGAAAGAAATAAAAGTGTGATGCATTATATCCAGAAGAAACAAAGTAAGCCAATTTATTTATGCACACTGCAATTTTACAAAGAGCCCGGGAGCAACAAAAAGTAGGAATGTCTGTTGGGTTCCCACTTCAAAACTGACAAACATCTGATCTTTCTTGGTCATGGGGAAGACAATTATCAGTGCAGGGTATGGTTTTCCCCTCCTGATGAAAGGAGTAGATAAAAATCAATGATTTCTGAGTATCAAATTCATTTAAATCATGATTTAAATTTTAAAAATCAATTTTCAAAATGTAAATAACCAAAAATATTTTTTAAAAGTTCAATTGTGATTTAAATCAGTTTATCAATTTGATTAAATTAATATACCTTATAAGGGTGGTCTCTTGCTGAGTAAACTGCCATTTCAGTCAGTTGGCTCTAGAAATGGTGCATTCTAACACTAAGAAAAGCAGTAAGCAAAGAAGACTGATGGTCTTTTTTGACTGACAAAGAGCTTCAACAGTGTACATGCTGCTACTTCAGCTTTTGTAGCTAAAGACTGCTAAGAAGAGACTGTGGCTCTGAGGCAGTATCAACAGACAAAGTGCCAGTCTTAGAGATGGTCACAAATCAGAAAAATGGTGATTCATTTTGATTCTTGATTCATCAAGGTTGATGAATCACGAATTACAAATTTACATTTTTTCTGATGAATAGACAAACCAATTTATCAATTCGTTTTTGCCTTTAAAACTCTATACTCCCACAAAGTTGTTTCCCCCAGGAAAGTGCACTGTGACAGCTGGTCTGGGGAAACCCAATCTTCACCAAACTTGGTGGGACTGTAGATGAGAATTAGCAGATTTTGGTGTCTCTGGATGCCTGGGGTGAGCTTTCCTGGGGGGGCGGCTCTTTGTGAGTGTATAACTCCGACATCTGAAATGTAGTCATCACTAAACTTGGAGGTGTTGTAAAGGATACTCAAAGGAAGCTTCCCTGCAATTGTGGTGTCTCTACATGCTTAGGGGGGCATTTTATAGCTAAATGAATCAATGAATAAAAAATCACTGAAAATTCATTGATTCGTGTTTGTTGGGGGCATTGATTGGTATGAACATGAATCAATGAATTTGTGTTTACTGAACAAATTTGGTCACTCATTTTTTTAATTCATGCCCATCTCTAGTGTGTCTCCATAGGCAAAGCAATACATTTAAAGAACGGCTTACGTTGTTTTCAGTGCAAGTCAGTGCAGGTTTTTGAAATAAACAGAAATATTTTAGTCTGAAGATGTGAATATGCCCACATCAATAAATATGTATTATTTAAACATTTTTAACTTTTTAGTGTTGGCTTGTCTTTTCTGTGTCTGACAATGCTGTTTTGAATTTTAATGTTGAATCTGGCCCAGTTTAGGGGCCCCAAATTAAATGAAGCTGTAGTACACAACAATTTGGCCTTTTCCTTCATTACACTGATTGGAATGGCATATTCACTTTTCTTTCTACAGTAGACGCATCATTAATCTTGGTCCTGTTATGCTGATTCCAGAGGAGCAGCCAGCACAGCCTGCAATACCTGTTCAGCCAGAAGGTACTAGAGTGGTGTGTGGACACTGTGGAAATACATTCCTAGTAAGTAAACTCAGCAGGCAGCACTCAGAAGGACTAAACTGCTTTCTTTGTGGCCATCCTATGCCCAATACTTTGTAAAGAGACAAGCCCTGTTCTGTCAAGCACTGGCTTCAAAATTCCTTAATCTCATCTAATAATCTGTTTTTTATTGCAAGTGACTCATCTTGTACATCTGTGATGGGCAGAGGGAGACCATCACTTACTTACTATTAGTATGGGAGAAGGTCCCAGGTTCAGGCCGTAGCAGCCTCAGTTAAAACGCTGAGGCAGCAGATGGTGTGAAAGAGCTCTCCTTAATTCAATGCCAATCAGAATATACAATAATAGGCTAGATTGGCAAATAGCTTGTACTTGTATAAGGCAGCTTATTAGGTCCCTTTCATAGTTAAGATATCCTTAATCATGCTGTATGCTTATCTTCCACTGAGGTTTTTCCAGTTGTTTTCTCTTGTTCTCACAGAAAGTTCTTCCCTGCTCACACAGGGAAACAGAAAAGCCATTTGAGACCATGGTATGTGTAGAAAGTCTTTTGAAAATTGCAGCTGCCAGTAAATTCATCATGCTGGCAGTCAAAAAAAGGGTTCATAGGGGAGCCTCAGGACATTTGGTGGGTAGATGGGGATTTAAAATATTTACTTTCCAAAAAAATCACCGTAGCTGATGGTGTTATAAACCTTATGCAAGTAACTTCTCGCAACAGGATTTCATCCTATTTGTTTTTTCCAAATAAATCTGAGTAAGTTCAGATTTTTTCTAACCCTGTCACATGTTAGTAAAGAAGTAGATGAGAGTAAACGAATGGAAACTTGGACAGGTCACTGAACACAGATTCAGCCTATGCTGGACAAGATTATACTTTCCCTGAAGTACTGCTCTGCAATTCAGTGTAGTTTTGGATTCAGCCTTGAGCCCAGATGCCCACATTTCTGCAGTGCCCAGGAAAGTACATTTGCACAGTTAAAGCCAGTACGACCTGTGCCTGTTCCTAGAAATGTCCAAACTAGCCAGGATAACACTTTACTTAATTAAATGTCCTTTAAATCAGTGGTTCTTAACCTTGGGTTATTCAGGTGTTTTTGGACTGCAACTCCCAGAAGCCTTCAACACCAGCCATGCTGGCTGGGGTTTCTGGAAGTTGCAGTTCAAAAACACCTAACCCAAGGTTAAGAACCACTGCTTTAAATAATTGAAACAGTTTTTACACAGGGCTGCTATAAAAAAGCATTCAGAACCTTCAGCTGGCCCAAAAGGATTGTGATCAAGCTGGTGACTGCGGCAAGTTACAGAGAGCACATTATTTCCTTCTTTCAACATTGGCTAGCAATCCATTTCTGGACACAATACAAAGTGCTGATTGTGATCTGTAAGGTTTGGTCAAACATCCATGCTGTCTGGAGGCCCATATTCTCCCATATGAACCTGCCTGGACTGATGCCTATGAGAAAGGTCATGTTTACTTCCACTACCTTCAAAGACACATTGAATGGGGATGCTAGAGAAGGCTTCTTGGTGGCTGTTCCTGGCCCATGGAACTCTTTTCCAAAAATTAGACTGGCCTTCTTCCTATTGTCTGTCCATCAGTATGGGTCTTTTTATTCTATCAGGTTTTAGTAATTGCTTGGTTGCTGAGGAAAGGCACTCTTGATGCTAGCTTTTTTCTCTGTTATTAGCCCCAATCCTGTTGACATCATCAGCAAATGGAGATTTTTAGTAATCGAAGACTTCTTCTTCTGCAGGTTGTCTGACTCAAAAGTAATCTGTTTCCTTATATAAAATCTTTGGGAGCGCCAGGATGAAAGGATGAAGTCTTTAATAAGCAAAAACCTCTCCATGCAAGTTAGACCCAGCATTTCAGTAATTATACTTCTTATTTCCGTTCTGTGGTTCTCACAGCTTCAACACAATGAAATGAATTACTTACAAGACAGACAAACCACAGGACAGAAGGAAGAAATATTTAATTACTGAAGATCTCCCCTGGTGGTGACATCATCATCCTTCTTGCCCAACAGGATTAGACTGTGTAGCTGTGTTTTAACTGGCACTTTTTAAGTTTTTGCTTCTATCCTACTTATTTGATTTATATACCTGGCAGCCAAGGCCACTCTGGGTGGTTTACAACAAGTAAAACAAAACAACAAAGTAGCAAAATAACAAATAAAGACATCAATACATTAGGGGCTCAAATCAAAAATCATAAAGTGCAGTGTGGATAAAAATAAAATACAATAAATACAATTAAAAGCATAAAAATATAAAAACATGGAACATGGCAGTATGGTGGATGTTATATCATCAGGCACTGTTGTATCAGGGCATTGTTTGTTCAGGGAAGGCCTGTCTAAATAGCCAGGTTTTAAATAGCTTTTTGAATGTGCCTACATCTTAAATTTGTTTTGAGCAATTTTGTATACAATGTCCAGAAAAAAGTCTGGATACAGATCAAATCTGTAAACAAGGTGGTCTTTGTTCCCAAGTATTTTAATATTCTAATGGTCATCAGTAGAACTGGTTCCAAAGTATTTTCATATTGTACTAATTACTTTAAATCAGTACTCTTCTAGAAATGAAATGAGTTTTTGTAATATTGTTAATTAGTTATGCTGTGTTTCCTTCTCGGATGGCATGATTCTGCCCCACCTCATTTCCCTTGTGCCTCTTTTTCTAATTTCATAAGGAATGTACTGTAAATGAAATCACATGACAATATTTCATATTGTACTAATTACTTTAAATCAGTACTCTTCTAGAAATGAAATGAGTTTTTGTAATATTGTTAATTAGTTATGCTGTGTTTCCTTCTCGGATGGCATGATTCTGCCCCACCTCATTTCCCTTGTGCCTCTTTTTCTAATTTCATAAGGAATGTACTGTAAATGAAATCACATGACAATATTTGTTTGAGTTCCCATTAAGAGAGATGCTAACTGGGGTACAGAGAACTGCTCAAGAGTATCGACGATGAAGTAACAGTGGTTAAATGTTCCTTATTTTTAAGTTACAGCTTTATTAATGACACCAAACTGCTGTTACCACCATTTCTAAACAGAACTGATAATATGTCAGACAACCTTGCAACTAAAAAGTCATGGGAAGTTATTTTGCATTGAAATCCCAAGGGTGTGGGGACACTGCCTAGAAAAGGGCATCCCAGTGACGAAGGAAAATAAGGAACACTGTCTATGTAAAGCATGAGAAGTAAAATATTTTTTTGTGATCCCTAGTGACATATAACATGAATTGAAAATAAACATTTTTTCCTTGCTGGAATTTTTCAACCCTCTTCTTTTTTTACTGCAGTGGATGGAACTGAGGTTCAACACTTTGGCAAAGTGTCCACATTGCAAAAAAATGTAAGTTCTATTAATCTCAGAATTTCTAATGTTTAAATGTTAGCTCTCAGTTTTGCGGTAGACCTATGCTCCTTGTATCTCAAATAGTTGATAAATAATGTTAGCAGTCCTTTTTTCATTTCCCACTTTTCTGAGGCAAGAGTTATTGATAATTCTTCTTTGCAAATGCTTGGATTGGATGGTCATCTTCAGATGAGTTTTTTTTTTTGTAGTGAGAGTTATTAAAATAAAGAGATCCCAATTTCTAACATTCCTGAAATGTAACCACAGTGGTGCCTCGCAGGACGATGTTAATTTGTTCCACAAAAATCGCTGTTAAGCGAAAACATCGTCAAGCGAAACACGGTTTCCCATTGAAATGCACTGAAAACCGGATAATCCGTTCCAATAGGAACGAATTGCCGTCGTCAAGCGAAAATCGCCATAGGAAACATCGTCAAGCGAAATGCGGTTCCCCAATTGAAATGCATTGAAACCTATTCAATGCATCTCAATGGGGGGGAAAATTACAACAACAAATTAAAAAAGAGTCAGAACAAAGTCAAATTTGGTTAACAAAGGGTTTATTAAGTGCATTTTAACATCATAAATACTGTGCAGGTGATTTCAAACATTTTAAACAGTAAACTTATAAATAACATAGAAAAACATTTAAAAATCAACAAACATGAGGCAGGAACTTTAAGTTTATAAACTTTAACTTTATAAATAACATAGAAAAATATTTTAAAAACAGCAAACATGAGGCAGGAACATTGGATTGTACAAGCTGTGGATGCTGGATCTGGTTTTGAAGTGTTCAAACCAGCCTCTGCTTGCCTTGAACTCTTCTGGCTCAGCTGAGGTTCCAGGCTGTTGCTCCATGAGCTCTGCATAAATAGCCCTCGCCTTCTCACAGATGACAGCCTCAGTCACTGTGTCCCCTGCACGCTGCTTCTCCTGCATCCAGATGACAAGGAGCTTCTCCACCTCTTCCAGGACAGCTGGCCGGTTCTTTGCGATCCTGGTGACACCCTTCGCTGCATCCGTGGCAAGGATCTTCTACCTCATTGCCACAATGGTGCTGATGGTGGATGGATTCTTGCCGTACTCCCTAGCGATGTCCGCGATGCACTTGCCTCTATCGTACTTCCGGATGATCTCCTTTTTCATCTCCAGGGTAATCTCCTTGGTCGGCTTGCCAACCTCGGCAGAAGCAGGCTTCTTGGGACCCATGTCAGCTGTTGCTACGTTAAAAAAAAACAAAACAAAAGGCAGTGCTTTACATCTGCTTCACCTTCCCACACACCTTCCCACACCTGGCCAAAACTGCCCTGGACAAACAAGTGACATAACACCCCCTCCCAGCACAAGCTAAGAAAAAAAACCCCACAAGAGAACAAATTCAGACCTATCTTTTGCTGTCCCAGAAGCTATGGAGAACTCCACTGCAGGCCACACCATGCCACGCTACAGAAGGATGCCTGACCAAATAAATTTTGAAAAAAAATTAGACTTGGCATAACAACCCCTCCAGCACAAAGAAGAAAACACAGAAGAAATGTAGACCTACCTCTTGCTGTCCCTGAAGCAGCAAACTCCACTGCAGGCCACACCACGCCACGTCACAGGAGGATGCCTGACCAAAGGGGGGAAAAATTAAACTTGGCCTAACTTCCCCCCCCAAAAAAAAACCACAGGAGAAGAAATGCTGACCTACCTACCTTTTGCTGTCCAAAAAGTTATGGAAAACACCAGCGTCACTGAAGACCACACCACACCAACCTCACCAAAAACAGGATGCCTAAAATAATAAAACTTAGCATTACCTCCCAACACAGGAGAAGAAATGCAGACCTATATTTTGCTGTCCAAGATGTTCTGGGAAAGTCCACCAAAGGCCACACCACACCACATGATAGAAATGATGCCTACAGTAAAAAAAAAAAAATCAAACCTGGCATCAGACTTTTGCATTCAAACCTCCACAACAGAAGCTATTGTATTCCCTAAGTTTCCCTTGCAGGGTACACAAAAATTTAAATCACATTTCTGCACGCTTCTCCCACACAGAACCAATGCAATAGCAGATCCAAATTCTCCCAGGAAAAAACATTAAAATAAGACTGACACAACATTCCCCCTGACCAAGGAAAACAATAGCCAGTAAAAAATTTAAACTCAGTTTTTAAATTTAAACTCACAATTCAAGACCCAGGCAGCCACAAAACACCAAAAAAAAAATTTAAAAACCATTAAAATAAGACTCATGCAGCATTCTAGGAGAAGAAATGCTGACCTACCTACCTTTTGCTGTCCAAAAAGTTATGGAAAACACCAGCGTCACTGAAGACCACACCACACCAACCTCACCAAAAACAGGATGCCTAAAATAATAAAACTTAGCATTACCTCCCAACACAGGAGAAGAAATGCAGACCTATATTTTGCTGTCCAAGATGTTCTGGGAAAGTCCACCAAAGGCCACACCACACCACATGATAGAAATGATGCCTACAGTAAAAAAAAAAAAATCAAACCTGGCATCAGACTTTTGCATTCAAACCTCCACAACAGAAGCTATTGTATTCCCTAAGTTTCCCTTGCAGGGTACACAAAAATTTAAATCACATTTCTGCACGCTTCTCCCACACAGAACCAATGCAATAGCAGATCCAAATTCTCCCAGGAAAAAACATTAAAATAAGACTAACACAACATTCCCCCTGACCAAGGAAAACAATAGCCAGTCAAGCGAAGCACGGAACCCAGGCTGTCAAAAACATCGTAAAGCGAAACAGGGGACCCAAAATTTAAGCATCTTGCGAAGCAAGGTCCCAAACATCGTCAAGCGAAAATCGCCCATAGGGACCATCGTTGTGCAAAAACACTCTGAAAAAGTCATCGTAACGCGAATTCGTTGTTAAACGAAGCAATCATTTTCTCCCACACAGAACGAATGCAATAGCAGATCCAAATCCTCCCAGGAAAAACCCTTAAAAATGAGACTCATGCAAGATTCCCCCCAACCAAGGAAAACAATAGCCAGTAAAAACTTTAAACTCAGTTTTTAAATTTAAACTCACAATCCTAGACCCAGGCAGCCACAAAACAACAACAAAAACCAACAAAAAACCCTGCAATTTACCCAAAAATAAGAAAATAAAAATACCAGTAAGACTTATGCAATAAAACCCACCACCCACACAGGAGAACAAATGTAAACTTACCTTCTGCTGGCCAAGTTCTCCATAACAGACCAAAGTTGCTCCTCACGAAGTCAGCCTTGGAACTCCACGTAGAAAAGACCAGGATGCATGGGGAAGGGTTTTTAAACCTTCCTGGCACAAGGCACAATGCATCCTGGGTATTGACTGTTGAAATTTTAACGAAAACAGCAACAGAAAAAAACACCCTGGAGACAGTCGTGTTGCGAAACAACAACCGTTAAAACGCCCGTCAAGTGAAGCACGGAACCCAGGCTGTCAAAAACATCGTAAAGCGAAACAGGCGACCCAAAATTTAAGCATCTTGCGAAGCAAGGTCCCAAACATCGTCAAGCGAAAATCGCCCATAGGGACCATCGTTGTGCAAAAACACTCTGAAAAAGTCATCGTAACGCGAATTCGTTGTTAAACGAAGCAATCATTTAGTGAGGCACCACTGCATTTCATACTGAATAAAAAGATGTTATGAAGTGGCAGATTTTGGGCAAAAACATGGAATGGCGAAGAAGTTCAGTTTTTAATGACATGAAAAACACGGTTGCTGCCTTCTTCAGTGTAACAACTTCAACTGGAATCTTGGATTAATTCACAGTTCAATGCTGTTGCTGAAGTATTGCTTTGAAGGTCCTTTTGATAATACTTTACATCCTAATATACATGTTGAGTGATATCTCTCTTGAAGGCTTAAAACCACTATTGTCCCACTGGAAAAAAACCTCCTCATAAAGGAAAAATTGACTATTAGATGCAAAGCTCCAAGGCCATGAAAGTTAGGCACCTGAAGCTTGATATGCATATACATGTGCACCTGGATATTGTTTTTAATATGCATTCATTGTTATTATTGTAAATATCTGTTTATCTAAAGACCACAGTACCAGTTGGCGGAATTCCTTGACCACTCATAACTCTGCTGTCAGTGTAGTTTGAAACCAGGAAAGAAGCCCAAGAGAGTTAAAAGGTTGTTCCCTGCTGTGTGGGAGTCCTCAAGGGCATGGAGTAGCAGAAACTTTCTTTGGGATTGTAAGGATACACCATAGCTAGCAGGTGTTTCCAATGACTATGGCTTTCTTCAGGTGGCACTGGCACTATGTGTGCAATTCTGGAAGCTGCCTATCTCGACTTGAAGGCACCAGTCTACCAAATTAAGGGTTACTTTCCATGGAAAGTTGAGCACTTTTGCTAGTATAAGAAATAACAAAAAATGTCCTGAAACATGAGCAGTGACAACTAGTGATACTGCCAAAATTAGTAAATAGCTTGTACAGTGTCATTCTTGCAAATGAAAGTATTTAAAAGAAATATAGTTTGCTTTTAATACAGTAATTCTGTTTGTCTTTAGATTGACCTTATGTGTAGCTTAAATGAAAGAAAGCAAAACTATAGTCTATAAAATAACAAGGCTAAATGAATAGTGTATGCACATATTTTCAGTCAGTTTTGTTGAAAGTTCTTACCTTTTCTGCTAGAAGTCACCAAAGCGTACATATGTTATTCATGTTCCTGTGATACTGGGTGACTTGGTCTGCTTGAAGTAACTATGAAACTGGACAGGATTTGGTCTTTTGATTTATTTAAAGTAGGAGGTAAGGAAGGGAATTAAATATTGTGGGATTGAGGTTCTTCTAGAAATATATACATCAAAGATAGGCAAATTATCCTCATGTTGGAAATTCTTCATTTAATTTTTATTTCATGTATACCACCATGTTTTCTTAAATTCTGAAGCTGAAGTATATGAGATTCTGTCCCATTTTCATACCCCTAATAAGCAAGTAAGATTCAGAGTATAATTAGTACATCCAATGAGTTTCAGAGTGCATTCTAGATATAGTGAATAAAGTTAGTGAATAAAGATGACACTTTGTGACTGGTAATGGTTTCATTTGAACTTTTTTACATCTTAATTGAAATGCATCCAGCTACTAAATTTCTGTTAGCGCTGCAATGTTAAATCTGTTTTGAAAAACCAAATCCTGGCCTGACATTACACTGGGCTTTGGAAGAAGACTACTTACCGCAAGACAATATTGATGCAGTAGCTGCAGCCACTATATGTTCCTCTTTCCTTTCCCCAACAGAAAGGAATAGTGGAGACTACATTATGTTTTTCCTTTTTAGTAACATTTTATTACTTATATTATTCACTGATGCTGCAATTAAATCTCTCAATCATGTCACCTTTTGAAATCATGAATTTTTTTCTAGTGCCTTTTCCTTAAGTGGCCAATAAGAAGTGGAAATTATCAAGTGAAAGCTGTGGTTTCACCACCTTTCTTTCTACTTGAGTAGGATTAGCTTTTGGTGGAACACATTTGAGCCTGGAATGTATTTCATGGGGAAGACTTTAAGCAGCACACCAACATTCTGTGTGGAGGCAAATTTGTAGACAGGACTAAATATCATCTTCCTCTCCTTTGTGGTGTAATTTCCACAATAATCCACCTAAAACTAGATGAGAAATTGGTCTGCTTTATACAGTGGGTCAAAGGTGTTATGTTACTTTTAATTCATTGTATTTATACAGTGGGGTTTTTTTCCTCTTCGGTTGTCCAGTAAATATAGACTTTCTTTCCCCCATCATTATGTCTTTGCTTCTTCTACACATCAGAAAGCATAAGAATTCCCATAGGACAAAAGCTTCCGTTTAAAAAAATGGTTGAAGCTATATCCTCCAAAGCAATGAAATTCAGTTCACAACTCAACCTTACTTCATCCTAACTCAAAATACTAATCTATCATTATACCTTAACTTTTACCACAAATAAATAAAAATTAGCATCATTCTTTGATTCCATGAAAAGTAAAAAAAAACTCAGTTTAACTTTAAAAACACAAGACTTTTTAAAGCCAAACACAGTTGGAGTAAACTAGTCAAGATTATGTAACTCTAGATACTACTGTACTTCAAATCTGCTATTTCTAGACATTGATTAAGGACAAAATCTCATCAAAATCTATGTTTTATCTTAGCTTTTTCCCAGCACTAGCATTACAATATACAGTGAACGGGGTGAATAGAGGAACTATATCTCAGTGTTTTAACAGGAGGTTTAATTCATTTTAGTTATATTTTGAACAGTTGTAAACTTGAGACATTATGCGAAAACCTGCACCAAGCAGCACTCAGGGAACTTTACATTCTAGTTTCAAACCTGAAAATTCCTTATAGTAAAGCTGCTTAATCAAACTGGAAACATTCCAACAAGATCTTTGGTTTTTTAAAAAAATCTAATCACATGCTAGGCATATGTGCTTTTTTGTCCTTTTAATTAACTTAAACCTTGGAGCTTCTGGTCAACCACATGACAGCTTGCTTCTACTAGGAATGTTATTCGGGCATGAATAAATAAATATATGACAAGAGACATAACAAGAGCTTCTACTAGGAATGTTATTCGGGCATGAATAAATATATGACAAGAGACATAACAAGGAAGAATATTATTCACAGTGTCAGCAGAATATATTTTGAAATCCTAGTTTAGAATCTGTCAAATTTAAACTGCTATTATGTACAACATTTAATGATCCTCAACATGGTTATGCCAAAACCTGTTTTGGATTTAATTCTGGTCCTGGTTTAATGTTCATTCACAGTTCTTCTGTTGGATGTGCACTCCCACGAAGACGGTGTTGTGCATATATTACAATTGGAATGATATTTATCTTTATTGGAGTTGGATTAACTGTGAGTAACACAAGTTTATCATCATTACTGTATTGGTATTCTGCAATTCAGTGGAGTTAATGGTATTTTGGCAGCTAATGGGTTTGCAAAAAAAATCTGAAGAGCTCTGCTTCTGCATCCAAACAGTAAGGTATTGGTTAAGCAAAGATGCCAAAATGTATTTTAAAGCTTCATTTCTACATTTCGGGGATATCCTGAAGCAATACGATATCAACTCAGAGCAAAAATTTAAAAAAAAACTCCTCTCTCAGTGGCAGAGATCTCTTATTGTGACCAGATAGGCGGGATATAAATACAGTAAATAAAAATAAAGAAATAAATAAATAAACATGTACCTGTCCCAATGAAATCTAATTTGATCAGGATGTGATTTAAAATGCCAAAGCTGTATGGATGCTGTTCCCTGCATGCATGCAGCCCACCCACATATGTTCTTCTCTCTGCTGCCTTCCAAAAGGCAGTGGCAAATTCAACACATTTGTCCTACAGATAGCCTAAAGAAAAAGGGCTTAGAGCAGGCCCTTACTCAAAGATGTAGTAGGTAGGTAAATGTATTGTAAATACATTATATGGTATGTTGATATACGCAGGTAAATATATTTTCCTACTTCAATCCCAACCTCTCTACACACATTCATTGTAAGAGGAATTATCTTTGCCTTACTTAGAAGAAATTATTCTAAGCTTTCTACTTGCAAGACTTTGTACTTGTTTCCTTGCATGTCAACAGGAAGAAAGGAAATGCAATGAAATGCATAAGAAATATGATTTCTAGTTTTCTTTACTTTTATTCTGATAGAAATAAAATATAATTGGTTAGCTGTTCCCAAATTACACATCTGTAGAGTTTCATTTAATCTGGGCATGAATTTCTTAGCCACATACAGTACTGGGATTCAGTCCTACTCACCTTATTTTGGTATTAAACTTGGAATATGAATTCATAAAATTGAACTGCAAATATATTAAGTTTACTCTGTGTGCAAACATTTTTTTAAAGTTAGCTTTATACATTCCCTTTCTTCCAAATTCAGGCACACTTAAAAATCCTAAGCCATGCTGTTAACAACAGGATCTTTTGTAGGACACACATCAAAAGCTATCTGACAGCACACTGTTGTTGTTGTTTAGTCGTTAAGTCGTGTCCAACTTTTTGTGACCCCATGGACCAGAGCAGTCCAAGGGGTGGAGACCATCTCCCCAAGTTGCAGTCTCTGGGGGCGGTCCTCCACAAAGGACTGGAGCCAGGACAAAGCCAGACCACCAATCCCTAATCCAGAGAGCTTCCTCAGGAGGATACCATGGTTGACAGTATCTAAGGCCACTGAGCGGTCAAGGAGGACCAGCAGGGACATTTTACCCCTGTTGGCCTCCCTCAGAAGGTCATCATGCAGAGCAATCAAAGCCGTCTCTGTGACATGACACAGCCTAAACCTGGACTGGAATAGATCAAGGGAATTGGTTTCATTGAAGAGTGTCTGAAGCTGGTCTGCCACCACTCTTTCCACTAACTTGCTTAGAAAAGGAACATTGGCAACTGTTTCCCCGAAAATAAGACCTAACCTGAAAATAAGCCTTAGTATGATTTTTTCAGGATGCTCGTAATATAAGCCCTACCCCCCAAATAAACCCTAGTTAAATGAAACCCCACCCTCCACCATTGTGCAGCAACCAGAAGATGACATGACTGTAAAATAAAACATCCTCTGAAAATAAGCTGTAATGCGTTTTTGGAGCAAAAATTAATATAAGACGCTGCCTTATTTTCGGGGAAACATGGTAGTTGTTACTATAATCAGCTGTCAAGTTCATTTTTTCCAGATGAGCCTGATAAGTGTCTCCTTGAGGGTTTGGGAGACCCAACCTTCAAGGAGAGGTACATTAATGATAGAAAAGGCCCATCCCATTATCAGCATGGCAGCTTTTAAAAGCCAGGTGGGGTAAGGTTCTAGGGAGGTTGCTGCGGCCCTGCAGTGATCTAGCACCTTGTCAACCTCAGATGATGAAACAGGCTGAAACTGATGAAATATAACCAGGCAAGCTGGTGCAGTGGACATCTCAACCTGATCTACTGCCGAAGTACAGTACTGCATAGTGGTCTAGGTCCTGGCGGATGGCCTCCACTTTATTTTTATTTTTTAAATGCCACAAACTGGTTATAGGTGAGACTACCAGGAGGTCCATCACCTTGACCAGCCCGATATGTCACTAACAATGTGGAATAATTTTGCCTGATAGTTCTGTGCCTTGCTTATCCAGATAGCATAAAAAGGCCTTTAGCAGCTTTCGCTGCTGCTGAGTAGGCACTAGTCGCAATTTTTTTGGCTCTTGGTTTATGTTTTGTTGGGATCCACCTCCAGATACTCTCTAGCCTTCTCCTATTTTGCTTAATCACCCATAGTTCCTGAGAGTACCATGGGGTAGAGTGGGCTTGGCAGTGGAGAGTACATTTGGGTGCCATAATGTCAGCTGCCCGGGTCCCTGTGGCATACCATCTAATGAATTAAATACATCATAAATAGCAAAAACATAATCTAAACAATGGCACAACCCATTTTTGGAGTGAGGCAAGACTGGTGATGAGGCATTCAACCAGAACTGATGTGAAAGTTCTTCTTGAAAAGTAGTGTTTTTAACTGCCTCTTGAATGAGTACAGGGAGGGGGCCATGCATAGCTCCTCTGGGAGTTGATTCCATAATGTAGGTGCCACCTCTATTAAATGACTTCTGTGCCTCTCTTGGGGTGGCTACATGGAGGAGCCTAGCCTGAGAAGATCTGGTAGGCCAGGTAGAAGACATTGGGGAAAGACACTCTGACAGGTAATGTGTCCCAAACCACGAAGGGGTTTATATGTGAGTCTCAGAACCTTGAGCCTGGTCTGAGACACAACGGATAACCAGTGGAGGCTGGCCAGCCCTGGTGTGATGTGATCAAATTTGCTCACACTAACCACCAATGTAGCTGTCATGTACTGGACCCACTGTAGTCTCTGGGTCAGTCTCAAGGGAAGCCCCACACAGACAACATTGCAGTAATCGATTTGGGAGATAACCAGTACCTGCACCAACATCCTGCACCCCTACCTAGAGGGAGTACTCCTCTAGGTAGGGGTGGAGTTGGGCGATAAACCTAAGCTGATTAAAAGCCGATCTGGAAGCAGCTACAACCTGGAAATCCCAAGAAAGAGCTGCAGACAGAACACCCAAATTATGAACTTGATCCCTAAATGGGAGAGCAGTGCCCATCTAGTCTAGGGATGTTCCCCCCCCCAATAAAATAAAAACAAAAATCTTACATTAAAATATGATAGTCTTTAAAGTTCCACAATGTTTTTGTCCTTTAATTTTTTTTTGTTTTGTTTTTGCCCGATATGTTGGTACAGACTAGCATGGCTACCTTTTTTAAAAGGTAAAAGATGCTTACTATAGTAACCACTATGTAAAATGAATTCATTTTCTGAACTTGGAACTTAAAATTCCTGTACTTTGCAAAAAGTAGCAAGAATAGCAAAGTTCTTTTGAAAAGAGAGGCGGAGTACAATACTGATTTTGGGACTTGTGGTGTCTGAGCAGCTGGACTCTTTTGGAGCTTACACAAGGGGGTATTCTCTACAATCCTGTGCCAGTAAAAGCCTTTCTGCTTTGGATAATGCAAGTTCAGCTGATACTATGGCCAGCTAGAGATCATGTGAGACCACTACTTGCAAAGCGTTACACTTTTGACAGCTTTCAACAGGATGGTGCCCTAAGATGATAGCAAATATATGACAGTAAATAAATATAAAATGTTATATCCATTTAAGGTCTAAACGGAAAGATTACCCCAAAGTAATCTTGCTGATTGATAATACTTTTTTCCTCCTCATTTGTGTACCTGCCCTGTTTTCGCCGCCTTTATTGTATTTAATATTTTAGTCTATTTTTACTAGATATTTTATCTTTTGTTACTATGTCTCACGTTTATCAATTATATGGATATTATTGGGATTGTTTGTGTCAGTCTCATTTGTTTGCTGCCCTTGGTTAGTGGCTCTGCCACCAATTGGGTGTGATATAATATTGCTATAAATAAATAAACTTATCATTTGATTTCTAATCCAATTGAAGATAATTTATTAGTAACCAGGATTATATTTACTATTGCCCAGAATTCTACAGGTTTTTAATAACTTGCTACAGCTACTTGTGACTAATTGATGATCTAGGGATGTTCCTCTCAGTCACATGTCACATTTCAGTCACATGTCTGATCCTGCATCAATTGTACAACTGAGATATGTCCAAGCATCTCATCACTCAGCTGCAGTTAGCAGCTACAACTCAGTTTAATGCAGGCTGTGGTAAATTTCTAGCCATTTGGCTAAATACAGATTTTGGAATGTCTGCCAAAAGGTCTAATTAGATAAGGTCTTCATTCGAGGACGTGAAACCCTGATTTAATTTAAATGAACAATGGTGGGTAAAACTTTAAAATATTTTAATTAAACATTACTTCAAACATCACATTTTCAGTTTTAAAGGAAATCCTAATGGCAAATGCATATGTTACTATGGTTGTAACATTTTGTTTACTCTTTCAGCTTGGCTCTTTCATAGTTTAAGTTTGCATCCCCAAACTCACTTCTAGATGCCTTGGGCTACAGTTCTGTTGTTAACTGGAAACAGTATCATTGAACACATCTAAAAAGTTCAAGGTTCAAGAATGCAATTTTAATGAATGGACCTTTTCATTAAACTTTTTAACTGATGTACATTTTATCCCACAACCCTTGAAGCAGCAGTTCTGTTGTTGCCACAGTCTTCAAACAGTGTGGACTGTCTGTCCCAGTTGAAAAAAATTAAGCATGGAACTTTTTTCCATGTGGGATATATTGTTTCAGTGACATATGTGCAGGAGTAAAGGCTACAAAAATCAGCTAGTAAATCAAGGGTGAAATATTATATTATCAATAAAAATATTTTAAGTTCCTGTGAGCATATATAGAATATTTTATGCACTACCAAACAGCTACATTCTCTGATACGTCACTAATGTAGAATCAAGAAATATCATTCAAAGTGGAAAACCATGGTCAGCACACAGAGTGAAGAGAAGCACTCTAGCATTCACTGTATTAGCAATCTTTCTCACACAAACTGTGCTGGATTCAGAGCTCGCCTTGCTCTAATCTTGGCCGTTCTCAGATAATGGTAGTTTCATGCTATAGCCAGAGGATTTAAAACAGAAGACCCCCTTCCCTGGTCACTGGCATACTCATTTATAGGTTATCTTTCTCCTGATAAAATCCTCTATACATGGATATTCCAAATTTTTTATTAAATCTGGTATAAAGCAGGGTGGATTGGAATTAAATCAATTTGATTTAAATCACAACTTAAGTAAAAAATCAATTTTAAAAAAATTAAATCATGATCCAAGTTGTGATTTAAATAAATTTGATGTTTAAAAAATCATTAATTTCTGTCTATCCTGGAGTTGACTTCAGCTGGAATTTCATTTTATTTTATTTTATTTATATCCCGCCTATCTAGCCACTTAAGGCCACTCTAGGCGGCTTACAACATGAAGATCTGTTGATGGTGCAATTTTATAAGTAGCAAATTTGAGTACTCTTCTACTATTCTGTGTAAGCCTCTTTTAAAGTTCTTCTATTATTCCAAATATAATTTACGAGATTCTGGTCATTAAGCAGTTATCTGAAGCAAAAGGTTTCTGGTACAGGTGAGATCTCTCTAAGCCATTAGGGAGCTTGACAAGTTGATCACTCCATATACAGTGGAACCTCGTATAACGAGTGCACCGTTGAACGATGAATCCGCATTGCGATGCGGATTTCCCCATTGCTAATGCGAGGGCATGCTCACATTACGATGGGGGAACAGCTGTTCAGCGGTTCCAAAATGGCCGCCGGAACACAAAAAATGGGTGCCGGTACACCCAAGATTGCCGCTGGGACTCTCAAAATGGCCACCGGTACACCCAAGATGGCCGCCAGAACACAAAAAAATGGCCACCGGTACACCCAAAATGGCTGCCAGAACACAAAAAATGGGCACCGGTATACCCAAAATGGCCGCCGGGATGCTCAAAATGGCCGCCGGTACACCCAAGATGGCTGCCGGAACAAGGGAAAACATCGGAGAACAGTGAGTTTTGGGCCCATTTGCGTTCCCATTTGCGTTCCAGTGGGTTTTTTGGATCCGTTTTACGATGTTTTCCCATAGAGAAGTTCCGGATTAACCTTGCTATGCGGGGCACCACTGAATATTGTCTCCTCCTGGTGCAGTGGTTACACTGCTGTACTGCAGCCAAAACTGTGCTTACAACCTGGGGTTCAATCCCAGGAAGCTGGCTGAAGGTTGACTCAGCCCTCTATCCTTCTGAGGTCGGTAAAATGAGTACCTAGCTCACTGGGGGGGGCAATGTGTAGCCTGCATAATTAACTTGTAAACCACCCAGAGAGTGCTTGAAGCGCTATGGGGTGGTATACAAGCAGCATGCTTTGCTATTCACACTGTCCTTCACATGGCCACTGCAATATACAGGGCATAGTAACTGAATCAGATAGTTGTAAGGACTCAATTCTCAACTTTTATATTATTCTACAGAGAGAGAGAGAGAGAGAGAGAGAGAGAGAGAGCGAGAGAGAGAGCGAGAGAGAGCGAGCAAGCACTAATTATTGCCTGAAATACTTAATGCTACAAGTATTAATTTTGTCTTTCTTATTCTTGTCTTTAATAGGTTGGGACACAAGATTTTGCCAGGAACTATCATGCCACATATGTTTCTTGGGTTATTGCTTACCTTTTAGGCTTAGTCTGTTTAATTCGAGCCTGCTACTGGGGAGCCATAAAAGTTAGTTATCCAGAACACAGTTTTGCATAGACTCCTAATGATGGCTTTAAAAAAAAAGAGAGACATTAACTGAAAGATCTGATGACAGTAAGAGCTAAGTAACCTAAACCTCTTTTTTCATATTATTGTTCCCATTCCATTAAAAATAATTCAAAGGCTGGGGATCCTTTTAAGAACAAATGTTCATTGCACTACATTATATGCAAATAGTTTGTTTTGCTGCTAGATTCCCAAGCTCTGAAAACTTATGCTTTGTTTACAGTATCAGGTATTTATCTTTATAAAAGATTGTTGAATTCAAATCCATTCTACAGTATTCTTTTTTTTTTCTATTTTAAACATCAGTCTGTACCATTTGGGGAGGAGTATGCCAAAACAAAGTGTTTATAGATGTTTCTACAACTGCTTCATATGTGTATGTACACTTTAAAGAACTGTGTCAAAGCAGCTTGCTTTACATTTTTAAGCAATAAGCCTTCTGCTTGAACTGCTTACTGTATCTTTTTCCAAAATCAGAGTGACCTTAATGAGTGTACATCATTTTTAACAGTGGAGCATTTGCTTGGGAGACATTATTGTAAACACGGTATGCTTCCAAATTTTCAGATGGAGAGATGCAGTATTTTGGTAGTCCAGCTCATTTATCCACCACTGAAATTCAAACTTGGGTATTCTTTTCCTTCAAGGACTTTGGGACTTAATATTTTTTATCTTTTTACAGGCAAAGCCATGATTGGATTGATGGGACTTATCTCCAGTTATTTGTAATGAGTTCCTTTACTGGGTCTAAGTAAGGGAAGTATTTATATGACTCATTTTATAAATTTAGATAGAGGGTGATGTTGGGTTACTTCTTAGCTTGTTTTGGTGTGGTTTCTTTTCCATAATGGGAGAATAATTCTCTGGTCACTACAAAGGAAGATAACATCACTTTACAGTAACTGATATGAAATGAAAATAAAGAGATACTCTGATCATTCTGTTGATATATAGCTAGTCAGTATAACACTAACAAGTTATATTAAACACAAAAATGAAGACTGTTTTCTCAAGGTCTGTTCACAGCTTGATTCTAGGGACCAGTTATTGCACTGCCCATCTCTAAAGTTTTACACAGTGTTTTTTCTAAATTCTGGAAGAACAGCCTGAACTCTTTAGATTACAGTAGTCTTTAGATTATGGAGTCAAGAAGGTAGATACGTATGTTTCAGGATTGTGTATACTATTTTCCATTACCTTTATTCCCGTTTCAAGGCAAAGGGATGGTTGGATGAGAATTTGGAGCACAAAAAAATGTATCCTACATACTGTAAATTAAAGTATTTGTATAATGTTAAATGTACAAAAGCATTAGCTCAGGATTACCATGTACCTTTTAAAATATACTAATAAAGATTATTATTCAAAGCTATTTCTGGATTCATCAATAAATTTATCTAGTCTTTATTGTAGCAAACTCAAGGGTTTGCTCACTTGTTTTGATGGAAGCATATACTAACTACACTAGACAGAATTATCTATTATTATAGCGGGGGAAAAATAAATGTTGCCTCTTTAAAACATGTTATTCTTCTATTTTTCACCAAAATTCAGATCAGGAAATGTATCCAAGGACAGTAGTATCTGTATACAGTGGTGCCTCGCATAGCGAGGTTAATCCGTTCCGGATTAACCTTCGCTATAGCGAAACATCGCTGAACGGGACAGGGAAAGCCATTGGAATGCATTAAACATCGTTTAATGCGTTCCAAAAGGCTCCTTTACTCACCGTTCATCGAAGTTTCCTATGGCCGGCAGCCATTTTTGCGCCCTCGTTAAGCAAGGGGAGGGCGCGAAAACGCTGTGCGTGGCCATTTTGGGGCTTCCAGCGGCCATTTTGTCTGCCAAACAGCTGATCGTCGGAGCTTCGTTTTGCGAAGATCGGTAAGCGAAACGCTTACTGATCTTCGCAAAGCGAATTTCGCCCTATCTAAAGCTCGTTGAGCGATCGCATTAGCGATCCCAAAAAAGGGATTGCTATGCGATTTTGTCATTGTACGGTGCGCTCGTTAAGCAAGGCACCACTGTACTAACTTTTCCTCCTAACTAGCAAAAAACTCCTCTAATTTCATAAAATTGTTTATTAATGAATTTCCTCCACTGCACTGACAGAATATGACCCATACTACTGAAGAAAACACCAGGATTATGTTTTCCAATTAAAGACACGACTAAACGACTAAACACAATATTAACTACTAACTCACATCAAGGTTACCAGTTCCACAATGCTTTCTATATAACATTCCATACTTAATAGGCTCTTTTTTGGGGGGTATATTGGGGTTTTCAAAATCACCAAGCTATGCTGCATGCTTGGTAATGTACCTTCACAATAATGACTATTCCACAACAGCCAAATCTGGCAGTTCTGGAATAGTCATTTGTACTGATGTGAGACAGAAGGTGAGAGGGATGCCCCGCTCACTGGAGAGCCGTCCCTCCCCCACAATAAGAATAAGGAGAGTCCCCAGCCAGCACCAGAACCTGCGGCAGAAGCTCAGCAAGGGACAGAAATAGGGGAGTTGTCTGAGGGTGTGACAATGAGAGAGGTCCAGGAGGAAAAGGCGGGAAAAGAGAGGAAAAAGAGGGTGGCGTTTGAGGCAGGAATAGGAGGTAAAAAGGAAGGAGAGTCAGTTGCCAGTAAGCTGGGAACGGGTGTGGATGGAGAACCCCTGGGCAGGATGCTGGGAGAGGCTGAGAGTGCCTAAAAAGGAGGCAGATTACAGAAGAAGGAGATTCCCTCCAGACCCTCTTCTTGGGGAGAAGCCAAGGCGAGAGAGGGGAGGAGGAGGTTGAGAGAAGAGAAGGAAAGAGCAGCGAGAGAAAGGAAAGAGAGGCTAGAATGGAGAATAAGAGAGATGAGGAAGAAGTACTACAGGGAGGACCCTGAAAGGATCAAGACCCTGAGTGACAAACCCTGTAGAATGACGATTGGGATAACGAGACCGTGCCCTTGCTGGAAGGTTCGACGGGGCAGCCTGTGATAGATTGGGTTCCTGCTGATTTACCAGGACCATGGAACAATAGTTATGGCAACCCGTTCCTGTTTGAAGATTGGAGACCCCTTCCGGACCCGTTGGCATAAGGAGAAAAGACTCACAATCATGTCACAGACACTTGTTTATTGTTAAATGCACCAATAAATCTTTCACCTGATTTATTTGGACCAAAAGAGGAGCCTAAAGGCGAACCCTCACAACTGGTCTTATGGTTTAGTGACAGTAGAAATTTATACTATGTGTGATGCTTCTGGGAGGATGTACACATGTAAAACAAATGGCAAACACATTTAAATTAACTTTTCTCCAAAGAAAACAACTAAGATGACAATTATAATTGTTTCCTGACATATTGCCAAGAGAACCAGCTTGGGTACCAAACACTGTGACTAGAGAGAGTGAAGAATTTCAAATGTTGTTTACGGACACAAAAGAGGTGGGTTGTTTGTCCTCAAAGAGAGGCCTTTGAAAATGAATGTGTGCAACAGAAAGAAAAAGTTGAGGGCTAGGTTCTCCAGGATACGTCTGAAGGCTAAATGTGTGTCAAGATTCCTGTAAAGATCTGTAATGTTGTTCAACAGCATACATGACTCCTCTTCCAAGTTGTCTGGGCATGATTTCAGTAAATTTAAAACTAGACTGTCATCTGAAAGGGTGTTAAGTGAGACCCTGGATGTGTTTGACTGTTCAGTGGAAATGGTAACAGACTGGATATGAGCCAACAGACTGGAGCACAATCAAGAATATAGCCTTGGCAAGTGGGTGTCTAACTTGGAAAATGCTGAACTAACGTTTTAAAGGGGTTGCACTCCTCCCAAATAATCCAGATGTCAGCTTTGGGGTGGTGTTGGATTTGCCTCCATCTCTGGAGGCCTAAATATTTTCCCTGTCACCCTGGAAACAGCCTAGGTCTCAACTTTTTTTTTTCTGCCACTGCTTCCATTTACTAGGATACACTAGGTCCTCCTGGTACACCATGCCACCAGCAAACCTTCCTGGACAGAGAAGGTCTGGCACCCCTGTTCACACTCCAGTAACATTTGAATTACTGTAATGCACTGTACATAGGGCTTTCCATGGGCTACTCAGAAACGGCGTTTGGCTTGAAATATGACAACTAGGTGGTAGTATCTTTTTGCTACAAGGTGATCTTTCTATCTATATCTGTATCTTATATGTATTTCTGCTATATTCTAAGTTGCTTTGCAAATCCTGGAATTGAAGAGCATGATACTGGTGATAAATAAATTATGCTGTTTTGTTTTAGGTAAAGGCATGGTGTATTCACCTTAACATTATTACATGGTGAAGTCACCTGAAAATGAATGTGTTTATATGACCGATATAATTCCAGTTGTGGCGGCCAAGAAGAAGATGAGATCTGGAGTCCTTTCAAAAGATCTTTATAAAGGGAGCAAACATTAACCATCTGGTGGGCTATGATCGAAAGTTCTGTAAGGGCAATTGGAACAAAGAACTGTAAAGCTGTGCCCATGTTGTAATTACTGTAGTGGTTTAACCTCAGAGGCAAAATGGTATGGGCTTGTCCACACTGAGGTGTGCCTGGTCCTCAGATTGCTCTGGGCTGTACAGATATTTATATTCCCCCCCCCCAGATTTGAATAGATCATCCCGGTATGGACATCTACATGTTAGGAAGCATTTGTTCCTAGATGTACCAGGATACCGTAGGTCCTCATAGTAATGCTAATCCACATGCATCTGGAACTGCTCCCTGATGTCTTATTCTGAATACATATTGCCAGTCCCTTTTCCCTATCTTCCCACCACACCTACTATACTCTCTTTCCCTTTCTTCCTTGTTTTGCACTATGGTACAAAAGCATGTATTTTTAAAAGAGCAGAACACAGGAACACCTGATATCTCCAGAAAACTAAACAGGAGAAACAGTAAAAGTAACTGGGGAGTAGGGGAGAGAGAGTGAACATAAGAACACCCATAAGGAAACATAATCAAATGACATATACAGTGGTGCCCCGTATAGCGAGGTTAATCCGTTCCGGATTAACCTTCGCTATGCGAAAACATCGCTGTACGGGGCAGGAAAAGCCTATTGGAATGCATTAAACTTAGTTTAATGCGTTCCAATAGGCGCCCAAACTTACCCCTCCAGCGATGTTTTCGTGGTCCAGCGGCCATTTTGGAGCCGCCAATCAGCTGATCGGCGGCTCCAAAATGGCCGCCGGACGCCCCAATCGTCGTAAAGCGAGTGCGGCGATTGGGGCAGCTCCGTATAGCGAGCCCCAAAAAGGGATCGCTATACGGATTCTTCGTTGTACGGTGCGCTCGTTAAGCGAGGCACCACTGTACTCACAAAGTGCATGGATCAGAATGCACCAATGTAGTACCAGGGCCCACATGAGCAGATTCTGCTTTGGTGCAAACAGGACCAAAATGTAACAAAAATATACCATCACCCGGAGATGGTGCAAACCACCCCCAGAAAGCGAAGTGTTTGCTCCACTCTGACTCTAGTTTCAGCCTTACATCAAGTGGACACTGGAATGCAGTATCAATGGGTGCAAAGAAGGCTGAGCAAAGGCTGTGAGAGATTGTCATTTAATCATAAGAGATTCCACCTATTCTGTGAAATCCTTCAAATTCACGTTTTTGTTTTTTAAATATTCGCCTCTAGAGAAAAACTGGGGCAATATATTTATATTTCACAAGCATGCATGAAATGAGCACAGAGTGAAATGACTGCCAGTTTCATGTTTATCATGAAAGTGGCCTCCTATAGTTGGCAGGGGCTGGTAATTAACCGTACAAGTGGGCTTAAGAGTTGCTTTCTCAATAAATTATTTTCTATAGGGTTGTCTCTTTCCAATTAGAGAAATTCAAGTCCAGTTCACCACTCCCTGCTCTATATGAAATATAATCATTCATCTATTCAGTGAGATTTCCCCCATTCTCCTCTGTAGGAAATGTTAATGTTAAAGGTATCCATAAAGTAGCATTGTTAAAAAAAATCTTAAAGGGTACATCAGGCTGTCTGCAAAACACTCTAAAATTGTTATATGACAAAAATATATTTTGAATTGTTACACTGATGAACCAAGAAAAAAAGGGGCAAGTGATATTCAGAAACTTTCCAAAAGGTAACCATGTTGTCAGTTTTCAACAAAACACGATGACACCTTTGAGTCTAACAAATGTATTGAATAAAAGGAGATAGGGCGAAACCAACCTATGAACAAGGAACAGAAATATCCATACAAACAAACACCTGCAAAAAGAATGAACTCCCAAAATGTAATCTGGGTCATAAAAAGCAATAACAGAATATCATAAACCTCAAAATACAGTATTTTAATACCATAAACATATCTGATACATAACACACATTTGAAGTTGCATTATATCAGGTACCAGTACTTCAGTTTTATATACAATATAATTTTAAATATAACTGATCACAATTACAGATAAAATGGAAGCAATCCACTGAAGAACAGAAGAGATGCAAAGATGACATATTCCTTGAAAGACAACTTGATGATGAACCCAGTTTCTGAAAGTGAAAGCAGCTCTTAAAAATCTTGAAAAAACATAATCAAGACGACACAGTATACCAACAGAGTTATTTCAAGGTACAAGACACCAACAGAGCCATTTCATAACTAAAATATGCCAACAAATGTGGGAAAGAATTTCAACTATCTTTTCCACTACTTGTAGCTTATACTTACTCAGAAGTTATGACTATTGTTTAGAGGAGCTTATTTCCTCCCAAAAAAGCACACCTTCAAGTAGCATTCTAAATAATTCTGTTATTACTGTCACCAACAACTAAAACCGCAATTAGTTTATAAATTATTAATCTACACTACGCACTGTAAAACAATCACTAATTAGGTTCACTCAGCCTTCTAAAGTCGGTAAACTGAGTACCCAGTTTGCTGAGTGGGGAAAAAATGTGTAGCCTGCCTAATTCAATTGGAAACCGCCCAGAGAGTACTGTACTTGAAGCGCTATATAAGCAGCACGCTTTAATTATCATGATTGCTAATAACTGCATAATAATATTCACGAAGTTTTTGATAGGACGAAATCACTCAGGACTGTAAACTAACTGATCAATTAAAGTGGCAAACGGCGAGGCGTGAAGAGAATCTGTTCCCGCCCGCTTCAAAAACCCGCGGGTCAGAGGCTTCAGGCTATGGAATTGGGACTTCTCTCACGCAACTGCTTCAGCTAAAAGAATGCCGGAAAGGGTGAAGAGATAAGATTAATTAAACGGCTCCCTTCTCCCTTTGTTTTCTCGCCTCGACTGACCAAACCAAACAAAACAAAACAAAACAACCCAAAGCAAAACACCTCAAGACCCTCACCGTCCCTCAGATGTGGTTGCGCGTGACGACGACGAGGGCGCGCGCGCAGCTGACTTCAGAATGCTGCCAGCACGTGAGGAGACCGTTATCCGCTCATCCTCACAAGAGAAGTCCCGCCTTTGGCTCCTCCCGGATCTTGCTTGCTCGCTCTCCCTTTCGAGGTGCGAAGGCGGCGCCGGTGGTGGCAGCTGTTGCGCCTACGACTGTTTTTTTAAGTAACCCTTTTGCTCGGAAGAAGAGGGACCGGTAAGCGGACCTTGTTACCGTGAACACCAGAAAGCGGGCGGCAACGTGTAAAGGCGCCAGAAGCGAGGGAGAAGGTTTTGCGGTCGGCGCTGGCGCGGAGGGAGTACTTAAAAAGGGGCGGGAGGGGAGAGAGTGCGCATGACTATTGGCTGAGGTAGCGTGGGGCACGATCGCGGGCCTAACTTTCCTTGCTTTCTGTGGAGGGCTAACCTAAGTTTCTTTAAGTTCTGTTCCTCCTACCCAAGGGTTCTCCCAGCAACGCATTTCCTGAAATGCTGGTACGATGTCATTTGCAGGTGAAGTGATTAATCCTCATTTGAACTCTGTCACATATGATTAAGTTTTTCTTGAATGCCTCCAGTGTTGGAGCATTCACCAACTTCCAAGGTAACTGGTTCTACTGTCGTAGTGCTCTAACAGGAAGTTTTCCCTCATATTCAGCCGATATCTGGTTTCCTTTAACTTGCGCCCATTGTTGTCTGTTCTGCACTCTGGGATGATGGAGAACAGATCTTATCTCTCCTCTGTATGACAGGCTTTCAGGTAGTATTTGGAAAGAGCTATGGTATCACCCCCTCAGTCTTCTTTTCTCACGGCTGTACATGAAATATTCTTTCAGCCATTCCTCATAAGGCTTGGTTTCCAAACCCCTGTTCATCTTTGTCGCCCTTCTCTGAACTTGTTCCAATTTGTTAGTCTCCTTGAAGTGCAGTGTTCAGAACTGGCCACAATACTCAAGGTGAGGCCTAACCAGTGCTGAATAGAGGGGGACTAGCACCTCGTGGGATTTGGAAACTATACTTTTATTAATGCAATCTAAAATAGCATTTGCCTTTTTTGTAGCCACATTGCACTGTTGGCTCATTTTTAGTTTGTGGTTGATGACAATTCCAAGATCCTTCTCTCTTGTAGTTTTGCTGAGCCAGGTATCCCCCATCTTGTAACTATACAATCGGTTTCTTTTTCCAAAGTGCAGTATTTTGCATTTATCTCTGTTGAATTTCATTCTGTTGTTTTCGGCCCAGTGTTCCATCCTATCAAGGTAATTTTGAATTTTGTTTCTGTCTTCCCGGGTATTAGCTATTTTCCCAATTTGGTATCTGCAGATTTGAGAAGCATTCTTTGCACTCCCTCATCCAGGTCATTAATAAATATATTGAAGAGCACTGGGTCCAGGACTGAGCCTTGGGGTATCCCACTAGTTACCTCCTCCCAGTTAGAAAAGGATCATCACCTTCTGAGTACTGTTCTGTAGCCAATTGTGTATCCACCTGACCCTTGATCTATCCAGCCCACTCCTAGTTAGCTTGCTTATCAGGATATCATGGGGCACTTTGTCAAAAGCTTTGTGGAAGTCAAGATACGTCTACAACACTCCCTCTAGCAGGGAAGTTATCTTATTTAAAAAAGAGATCAAATTAGTTTGGCAGGATATGTTCTTGACAAATCTGTGTTGGCTTCTAGTTATTATTGCATTGTTTTCTAGGTGCTTGTGCAATGACCACTTTATGATCTGTTTCAAAATTTTGTCTGGGATTGATGTCAGGCTGACTGGCCTGTCGTTCCCAGGTTCCACTTTTTGCTCTTTTTGAAAATAGGAACAACATTGGCCCTCCTCCAATCCTCTGGCACCTCACCCGTTTCCCAGTGGATAGCGGTTCTGAGAGTTCTTCAGCCAGTTCCTTTACTACTCTGGGATGCAGTTCATCTGGCTCTGGAGATTTGAACTCATTCACTGGCCTTTATTGCTGCCTGCCACCTTTTTTTTCTTGTTGGAATTGTTTGTACTTGTGCCTTTATAATTTCTTGTTTTACAAGCTCCCACCCTTCTTGGACTCCTTTTCTTGTTAGGATCTCCTGCCATGGGACCTTACTTATCGTTGTTCTGATTATCAAAACTGGCTTTTTAAAAATCCAGCAGAAGTGTGCTGCTACACACTGCTTTCATTACATACTTACCAGCTTTTTATAACTGCGCTGTTAAATGGGAAAATACATTAAATAATTACAAGTTGTCAATTTTAACTACAGTTTCTGAAATGCTCAGTTTCATCGGGATCTGAGCAAATCTTATTTTATTTTATTTTGAAAACTATCCCCATCCTTGGTAAAGTTGTGTTATGCCTAAAGGTGTTTCAACAATGGCTTTTACCTTTTATGGCGGAAGAAATGCTTGATGGTCAAGCTTTTTGGCAATGTCTTTTTACGTTTCAGTAGAGGGAAGAAATGCTTGATGGTCAAGCTTTTTGACAATGTCTTTTTACGTTTCAGTAGAGTTTTTTGTTTGTTTGTTTTGGCCTTTACTCTGTTCTTTCTTTGGAGCCATGACTTTTCAGCACACCGCAGTACACAGACCCTAGAAGCCACAGAATCCAGCAAGCATTGTTCCAGCACAAAACTCCTCATCACAAAAAGAGAGCATAGAGGGAGAGAAAGATAAGACACAGCCCCCCACAGAAAAATGTTCTGATTTTAAAACAAAAAGATTTTGGAGTAACATTTTAAATGCGCACATTTTAAAACAAAAGGGAAGTCACAGTACACAAACCCTAAAAGCCACAGAATCCAGCAAGCATTTTTCCAGCACAGAACTCCTCATCACAGAGAGTCTAAACTGCATTTTACAGTCTACCTGCATCAATAGCCAGCACAGCCCCTCACAGAATATTTTCTGATTTTAAGAAAAGAAGACCGAGGAGTCTAAACTACATTTTACACCCTGCCTGCATCAACAGCCAGCAACCATTACTAGAGCAAACAGATCCCCAAAGAAAAAAGACATTGAAACCACATTTTAAACCCACACATTTTAAAACAACAGATAGGTCACAGCACACAAACCCTAGAAACCACAGAATGCAAAAATAAATAAATAAATTTTACATTTTAAAATTGCAGTCTATTTTTCACATTTAATTTTAATTTAATATTACAGTCTACTTTTCAGATTTGAAATCCACACTGCAAGACCCATCAGAGCACAGAAACATAACCCCCCCACCTAGCCCTACCTCCCCCACCAAGCTACAACAAACCCTGTACAGTGTATATACTCCCCCAGAACTGGCAGTCTCTCTGTTTAAAAAAAAAGTCAAAAATCCAAAACTTAAAAAAAGCAAACAAAAAACCAAAAACCCCAGTCCATACAGTACAGTACCGACCAGTACCAGGCAGTCTGAAGACTCTCTCCCTATCCATTCTCTAACCGCTGGGGTGAGTGAGATAGCATACAAGCAGCCTCTTCATGGCCAACGGTCAACTGAAAGTTCAAATTTCGTGCTTTCCCCACCTCCCCCGCATTCCCCCCGTAACTTGAAGCACCAGCCGTAAGTTGAAGCAATATTTTGTGGCTGGAGGTTTTTGTATCTCAAAATTTTCTCAATTAGGGACATTCGTAAGTCGAGGCGCCACTGTATCTCGCTTTAATCATCATCCAAAAGAAGACTGCAGCCAAGAAATCAGAAGAAGACTAAGACTTGGAAGGACAGCAATGAAGGCATTATTAAAAATTATCAAATGTAAGGATATGTAACTGGAAACAAAGACCAAGAGCATCCACATTTTTGTACTCCCAATTACCATGTATTGGGTGTCAAAGCTCAACGGTAAAGAAATCTGACAGGAACTACATTGATATGTTTAAACTGTGGTGCTGGTGAAGAGCTTTGTGGATACCCTGGACGATGAACAAGCAGGTTCTAGAGCAAATCAAGCCTGAACAATCTCTGGAAGCAAAAATGTTGAAATTGAGGCTGTCCTACTTTGGGCATGTCAGGAGAAGCCAAGATTCTTTGGAAAAGACTATAATGCTGTTGAAGATTGAAGGTAACAAGAAAAGAAGAAGACCAATTACAATAAGATGGACTAACTCCCTAAGGGAAGCCACAGATATGAGTTCATATGGGCTGTTGGAAACAGGACATTTTGGAGATCTCTCATTCCTAGGGTCACCATAAGTCAAATATGACTTAATGGCAGATAACAACAACAACAAAGCCATACAAATTAGCTGCATATAATAAAACTGGCTTGCTGCACAGTGCAGGAGTAACTTGCTAGAACTTTTAGTCAGTATCATTTGAATTTACTCTATCCATGTAGCTGAATGTACTGTGCACCCACATTCTGTAAACCAGAATGTAGATTCAAAGTACAGTAGTACCTTGACCTACAAACTTAATCTGTTTTGGAACAATGTTCATACGTTGAAAAGTTCGTAAGTTGAAGTACTATTTCCCATTGAAATGCATGGGAACAGAATTAATCCGTTACAGCATTTCAGAAGGCAAAAAGGCAGGGGGAAAGGGCGGGAAATTTGAATTTCCCGCCCTTTCTCCCTGCCTTTTTGCTTTCGGACCTCTCAAAGGGTTTTCTCCGACGTCAGGGTGCCGATCGCGGAGGCAGGAACTCCCAGGGAGGTCTCCCAGGGCTTGCCCACCACCATGGGAGATAAGAAAATGAGAGAAAATCATAGGATTTTTGTCCAAATGATTGATTGAAATCTGAGCTAGAGGTTAAAAGAATTGGTAGTTTCAAATTTGAGATTGTAGAGCATGTGCTACGGTGCTGTCTAAAATATACCAGTTTATATGTATCATTGAAAGATAAAAGTCTAAGATGTTATTTAAAATAAATAAGATTTCCTGTTAATGATGTCAGTTTAATGTGATTTTTGTAACTACTTAATTTGAGGCGTAGCATCTAATATATAATCTCTACATCGGATGGAAAAAATTGGCTGTTCAGGCCATCCATCGTATGTCTACAGCTAAAATTCCAACTTCCCTCTCCATTTTTTTGTGAAGATGTGCAGTCTGTCACCCTTTAAAATAAATCTTTAATAATTCATAATAGCTTGAATCCATATCATAACCTGCATATACTTGTATTATATTAAAATAAATTCAAAATACTTTTTTAGGTGTTGCAACAAGCACTCTCTTAGAAGCTGAATTCTTTACTGTTTTTGCAAAGTGGGAGTGACTCTTCTAAGGCAGCACATTCTAAGTTGTTGTATAAAAATAGTTTTGTTGTTTTTTACTATTCTTCTGGCTAACCTAATGAACCATTGGAGCTATCCATTGTCATAACATTGAAGAAAATGGAGACTTTCTGCCCCCTTCATTAAACCTACCACTTCTGGCTTTAGAATATCCAGTACATATGCTATTGTTGTTACTATGGGTCATCAAATTGCATTAAACATGTGGCAGCCTTAATCGGGTTTTCAAGGTATGTGAGATATTTAACTAGCAGTTTTACCAGTACTACTCCCAGTGGGTTTTCGTGGCCAAGT